ACATGGGAATCTGAAGATTACTTGTTAGAAAAGTTTCCAGAGTTTCTTGCATCGATTTAGTATGATGGTAGTTTGCTATGAGATTGTGAATCATGATTGTAAAGGGACCTCAGTTGTTTTATGATGAAGTTTTGGATATTTTTGGGTTGGCACATTTCCTTTTCCATTACTTAACCTATGGCTTTGAATCTCGGGACGAGATTTCTTTTAGGGGGAAGGATTGTAACACCCCGGGTGTTTTAAATACTAAAACTGTCATGTCATCATATGCATTGCAAAGCATTTGGTCATATTGCAAACTTTGATATGCATTCACTAAAACAAGTTTACATTCATGTACAAGTGTTGAATTGTAGTGTTTGAATCAAGTTTGAAATACCTGTATTGATTTGAAATTCCGAAAACCCTAATTTCAGTATTTAAATTCTACCCTGAAAAATCATTTAAAAATCTAAGCATATTTTGGGGTTGAGCTTAAAAGCAAAAGTGTAGATCTTGTCAAGTTGTACAAAGTTGGTTTTTGGAGTTTTCAAAGTTGTTTAGTAAAATTTGAAGTAATTTGAAAAGGCATAATTCTTTAAAAGTGTTCCCTTTTGAATTTAAATTTGAATTTCAAAATGTAGAATGAATTTGGATATGGTTTAAAAAGCAAAGTTGTAGAACTTTTGATTTTGAACAACTTTTGTTTTTGGAGATTTTTGAGTTGTTATGAAAATTTGAGAGTAATTTGTGAATTTTGGGCGAATGGCATTTTCAAATTGTGTGAATAAGTGTTCACCGCTCTTGCTACATTGCTTGGCGCTTTCTTTCTTGGCGTTCCAGCGCGGTCGCGTGGCGCTTTTTTGGCGTCATATTGGGCTGTGAGTGAGGCCACAAGCAGCTTCTTTGAGTTTCTGGCCATCCTTTATAGCTCGAGTCGCCGCCGCTTCTTCTTCATTTTCCGTTGCTCGCTTTTCTTCCCGTCACCTTGCTCATCTCCGGCATGAGCCTGCGTTGTCATTGTCAGGTTCGCCATCGCCGATAAGCTAGCTCCAGCTCCGCCTACTCCTTGCGCGTCTAGCTATCCCTCAATTTAGTCTCGATTTCACCGGAGACGCGCAGAACGCACTTCTTCTTCGCGGTAAGCAACAAACCGGTGATTCCGCTTTCACCGTGGTCGACTCTCCGGTGAGCCGTTGCTTCCGATTAGCGTAGCTTCGCTTCGCCTCGATGCCGTGATGCTTAATCCGTTGTTGCTTGCTCATTTTGATCACCACAGTCGCCGCACACCATCACCGACGATCCTTGCTCCGCCGCCTTGCCGCTTTGTACGCCGACCCACGCCTCACGCCGCTTCTCCACCTTGCTCTCCGCTCCGTCGTGTTTGTGGTGAGCTACTGGTGCTTCCTGCACCGCTTATTTGATCGTTGCTGCCTCTCCTGCCACCGGCGTAGCGCTGCCGCTGCCAATGCTGCCGCGTCCGCCATGGTCGGTGTAGTGCTCGGTTCGGTCCGTAATTGGTCGCAAGTTAGTAGCCATGCCATAGATCGACACGCCAGACGAGTGATCATGTTAGTACCCTTGCCGCCTCCTCGTGATCTCACCGTCGGCGAAGTTTGCACCAGTCAGCGCGCCGTCGTTGTCGTAGTCAAAGGACGGAGGTTAGGGATGACATGTGGGGTCGGGTTGTCGTGACTCAAATGTTCAAATGGATTTTTCTATTTTCGGAATGAATGAATAGTGTCTGTTTTTGTTATTTTTGTGTAGATTTATTTAGAGCTCCAAAAATTATGAAAATTTTTGTGTGACTTTCTATGATGTATATTATATAACAAAAATTTGAAATCTTGATTTTCAGTATTTTTGGGTGTGATAAAATTGCCCAATTAATTAATAAATGACTTTCCATGATTTTTCTAGGCTTATTTATGTATCCAAAAATTATGAAAATTGTTTTGTCACTTAGTTATCATGTAATGAACATTTACAAAAAATTTTGAGCTCAATTGGAATAAGTTGATTTATTTCATAATTTTTAATTAAATAATTAATTCATAAAAGTGAATAGTAACCTTTAATGATTTAGGTTTTGATTGAACTTTTGATTGAGTGATGTCCTTGGGTCATTAGTGGATAATGATCTTTGGCAATTGATGTATGTATTACGTAAATAGATTTAGTTAGTTTGACTTGTAATCGCATCTGCGAAGGAAAGTTGTATTCAAGTTGTTTAATTTTGTATCCATCATCGAGCATCATGTTTTGTATTCCGCATCATGTTAAACATGGCATTGTTACTACGATGTAGTAGTGAACGAAGGTGAACCCGTGGTAGTTAATCAAGTAGTTGAGGAGGTTGAGCCATCTCGTGGAGGTTGGTGTTGATATCGTGGTCCGACTCTGAATCGACTTTAAAGTCAACGAAGGCAAGCCCGGATACATTTAAACCTACCTTGTGTTTTACAAATTGATTTCGCTTTTGCTTTTCAATATCGCATTAAGTGATTAGAAGTCAAGTGGAAACCTAATTGATGCATTACCAACCTTGTTTTCCTTATCTACCTTGTTAACCATTTTAATTCAGATATGGCTAGTTATGCTTAGTCATGCTTAGATAATAAAAGTCGGGTGATTACCCGTCACCGCGAGTTTTATATGGAACTTTTGGTTACTTATGTTATCATGAAATATGAGCATGTGAAGTAATAAATCTAGACCCGGGCGGACTCGGTGTGTGTGAGCCATAAGACATGGAGGTCTTGTGAGCGGGTTCTTTCCGCCCGTGTGTCGATTAAGGTCCGCACTGCTGTTGAACCGCCGAGGTGAGACTTTGTAGTACTAACCGCATACTCCGGTAAGCCTTAACTTGGCTATTCTATTACGAGAATGGCTACTCGCAAGACCGGGAGTGGAGAGATGGCGGGGAATAGCGTGTACCCACGTGGCAATGGGTTGGAGTGTGGAGTATCAGATTCTCGGGTGGCGCGGACCCGTTCTTGTTTAGAGGATCCGAGGGTAGGTTGATATATGTAGGTCGGGGACCCGCATATGTCGTGGTGGTCTGGAATTCCCAATTTGGGTTTATAATCGGTTCGAATCGTCGTTGCTCCTCGGTTATGGAGACTCACACTGCTCATCATCGTAGTATTAATAACTGGAACTTGAGTATGGTTTGAGAAAGTGTTGGATATGAAGTTTCATGATCTCAATACGGATCGTGTCAGCTTTGTATATGATCTTATGAAGTTTTAAATGTTGAAATAAAGAATTTTGTTAAAAGAGCTTTTACGCAAAAGAACTTTGATTATTGCTAAAGCCATACCTTGAATCCCATGAGCCTGCATTCCTGAGTTTTCTCAGTTTTTATTTCGGTTAAGTCTTGTTGAGTACTTTCGTACTCAGGGTTCGTTGACCCTTGTTGCAGGTGAGGCTCATGAGCAGATCTGTTTTGGATCGTGCTGCATGACTGTTGTTCAGTGCGATGACGATAAGTAATGTGTGGCCCTTGGGCAGGGCAGTGATATTTGTGTGTTTTGTAATATATTATAATGCCACTCCACTACCTTGGTTTGTATTAATAATCGAACTTAGTTTGTAAGGTTTGAAATAAATGTTTTGTAAACTAAGTTATTGTAAGACTTCCGCTGATTTACTCTGGTGTAGATATTTGAATAAATGTTGTAATCGCAATGACTCAGTAATGTGATCTGCCGCCGGAAATCGTGGATGATTCGGGGTTCTTCGAGGACACCCGACAGTCTTCTTAGGTTATCGGTAACATATGCATAGATGTCAAAGGTCGTTGGACAGTGACAGGTGCATGTGGGCCCAATAATTTAGGAGGTTCTGCCACATTGTACATGCCCTGATTGGGTGATAAAAGGTCATCATCTCCTTGTCCTTGTGTTCGGTTTGGCAATTCTATCTTTATGCTATTTTCAGTTTTCAGCTGTGCCACCTGTTCCTTTTTGGTATAGCAAGTTAGGATGAGCCAAATGCTTCCAAACTTTTTCTGTGGTCTCCTGGTAGCATATGCTAGCTGCTGTAATTTTTGTAGAGCATTGTTGAGTGTCAAGTGCGACCGGACGCTGGACCGAACGCACAGTTTCTACGTCCGGTTAGTGTTGCAGAGTGGCTGTGGTCCATTTTTCGACCGGACGCTGAAGAGAGTGCATGACCGGACGCACCGAGACTTGGAGTCCAGTCACGAACAGAGAGTGACCAGAGAGGGTTTTTGCTGAGCGGACGCGTCCGGTGATGAGTGACCTGACGCACATGCGGGTCCGGTCAGCTCAAGCGGCTATTTTCTCGCTCTTTGTCATTGTTTCAAACTTATTATTGTTGTGACCAGGTAGCGTCGGTCGTGTGCAACTACGTGTCTGGTCATGTCATCAGCTTGTAGTTTTGTTTAGCTTTTCGAATTCAACGTGTTTCTATCGTGGTTACTATTGTTGTCTTCATCCATTTACATGCCTTGTCATTTCCAACAACCTAATATGTACACTCATCTCATGTACCTAATATCGTACTTATGCTTTATGTAGTTAAGTTATGTTCTTTAAAGTGATTTGAATAGAGCTGGGCTACTTGGTAAAACGAGTGTCCAGTGATGTATGTTCTCATAACATATTTTATTCATTTATCTCCAATGTCATACATATCTCTGAAATGCTATTGTTCGACTGTCCATTGCTTTCTCATAACATGTTTTATTCATTTACCTCAATGTCATATATATCTCAAGTATCCATTTTACCTAATTCTTATTATACTTGAATTGGAACTCATTGTTGCTACTTGCTAAAGTTGAATACATAATTGTGTTCTTAAATTTAGGAAAGCGCTTCTCCAAAGTTGCAGAGAGAATTGAGTTGGAAGCTTCTATGATTTCAAAAGAACAAGAAAGGCACATTCTTCATGAAACCTACAAGGAAACCACTTTGGATGCACGGAGGAGGAAAGGTCCCGGACATGGATACATGGCAAAGTATCCAACCCAAGCCAACTTATGAATGAACGAAATGAAGAGCAGGCTCGTGCATCGCATTAGCAAAGCAAGCAGCCATACAAAGAAGAATATTGAGATGCAAGCTGAGGTAGACAAGTTAAAAGAACAACTTACCATTCAAGCCGCTGAGAGGGAGAGCGACAAGGAAAAAATTCAGTAGCTGCAACATCAACTGGAGAGTACAAGTAGCAAGATTAGAGAAGAACTAAGGCAAGAGTTTTTTGCACTAATCAAACAATAGAATCAAGCACCGCCTTTGGTACTAATACTACTTATTAATTGTTACCAACATCATTGTTTTTAGTAAACCTTGATTGCTAATGTTTCTCCTTATAACTCCAATGCTAGAATGCTGCACCAACCACAATAGCCCCTCAGCCTACAGAAATAGCCACTCATCATTCAGAATTCACAACCAATGCTACTGTTATTGAAAATATGGTTAGTGGAAATGAAGGTGCAGATTTAGCACATGTATTATCTTTTTGATGAATGCAAACTGCAATGTAATGGATACCTACATTTAATCTGACATAATATGTGAATCTTTTTTTTTAAATACGAAGGCTACTGTTAGTGCAAATGAAGTTGCAAATTCAGCACAAGTACTATTTTTTGATAAATGAAAACTGTAATGTAATGAAAAAGGATACCTACATTTAATCTTGAGGTAATGTGTGCATCTTTTTTTTTTAAATGAAGGCTGGTACAGAATCTGCGCTAGGCATACATAATGCACCTTCTAATGGGCCTGCTGTTGTTCCCACTCCTAGCCAAGGACCAGAACAAGTGCAAAAGGTAATATACTTCAAAAATATCACCTGTACTTTAACAGATTCTTAGAATTGCTAAGTGGTGATTGCTCCTTCAAATCTTCTTGTTTTTGCAGACTGTAGAAGACAGTGAATTAGTGAGCAATAAGATGAGTATCCAACCTAGTCGCCTCACTCGCAGCAATGCCAACAGATCACTTTTCCCAAATGACAAAGGCAGTAATGAGTCTTTGAAGTTTATTACTTCACATACACTGAGGAATAATGCTGCAAGTAAAAAGTGAGTTTTGAGAAATAAATGAGGAAAGGTATGAGCTCAAAATCTTATACATGAATCAGGTGTCATTTTAAGTTGTTGTCCAGATTATTAACATGAACTTTGTTCCCTTATACATGAATCATGTGTCCTTGCTGCTGCTGCTGTAAATTTTGCAAAGAAATATATGAAACTTGATAAGTTTTGCAGCGAGAGCACAAAAAAGTTAAACATGTCCTTGCTACTGCTCCTGCTAGCATTCCAATTTTGATTAGATAGTGAACAACTTTAACTGACAGTGTCAAGCTGCTGTAGAGTGTTGCTTTCCACACCGGTGGGATTGGTGAGTTCTAGTAGTGCCATGACCCGGTTGGATTGGTCCCTGTGCCTATGCTGCTACTAGTCTTTGAGGACTTCATTTTAGTGATGCTACTTTGCAATGAACAACTGATGTTTGGCTGGATGGTACTGCAATCATTAGGATTTTGCAAGTTACTGATTTTATTCCCTAGATGGTCTTACTGGATTCTAGTGTTATGCTCTTTATGCTCAAACCTGTAGAAAGTGTCCAATGTTAATCAACTCCCCTGTTCTCATGTAAGCATGAGTAAAACCTTGATTAGCATCTACCATGCTGTCTATGTTTGATTCCAACTGTGTGATCAATATTACTAATGCATGTCATTTTGACTTTTTCAGGAAGATCAACCTTGAGGGAGTCTTGGCAAGCTGAAATGAATCTAATATTGTGCAACGAGAAAGATATCATGTTGATCTGTGCTAAGAGACATGTATTTTTGTTTATGATTGCCTATTTGTAGCATAAGTTTGTGGTTTGTAATGCAGTTCAACTTTGCAATTACCTATTTGGAAATAGGAAGGCATTTGACTTCCTAACATTGTACAAATTATTGAATGCTTATGATCCAAGTTATTAATATGATTGCCTTTTTGTGCCATCGAATTTTGTAATTTTATGAATTTCTGTGCAATGAATTCGATGCAATAATTGGTTGTCCTCCCAATCTCATGTCGATGCAATAGTTCGTATTGCAGCGAACCAAAATGGTGATGCAATAGAACCTCTTGCATCCAACCTCATGTCGATGTAATAGTTTGTATTGCATCCAACCTCATGTTGATGCAATAGTTCGAATTGCATCAAACATAAAGTCGATGCAATAGTTCGAATTGCATTAAACATAAACTCGATGCAATACTTCGTATTGCATCAAACATAAAATCGATGCAATAGTTTGTATTGCATCGAACCAAAATGGTGATGCAATAGGTTCTATTGCATCGAACCTAATATCGATGCAATATAGTCTATTGCAGCGCACGTTGGCCGTTGCAATAGATGTATTGCATCAACATGATTTCGATGCAATAAGCTATTGCATCTCTTAGTTTTGATGCAAGAGACAACGGATGGCCGATGCAATAGCTGCTTCTCGCATCAGCCACAAGAAGCCGAAGCGAAAGGCTATTGCATCAAGACCACTTGCATCGGCTCGCATCAAACGAGAAATTGATGCGATATCAAGCTATCGCATCTATTTTAGACCTATAACATCAAAAATTGGCCGGTGCAATAGGGTACAAATTTAGTAGTGTGACAGGCGGGCCCGAGCTATCGGTGTAAGCAAGTGAGTGGTGAGCTGTCAAAGAGAGAGCGCGGGCGCGCTGCTGATGCCATTGGCGATGCTGGGCCTTTGGGCCGGCTTGGGCTGGGGCAAGTGAGAGGAAGCGAAGGGAGACTGGGCTGGTGCCAGGAGGGAAAAGGAGGGAAGCGCTAGGCTGGTCTCAGGCCCACATGGGGGAAGAGAGGAGAGAGCCGAGGGGAAAGAGCTATGAAGCGACCCCGATTTTCGTGAAGGGAAATCCACAGTGTCGAAGTGTAATAAGACCGTTGTAGATCATATTACCCAATTTCTAGTCGAATATCACATCCATACAGCGATAATATCAGAGTACAAATAGTGCAGAATTACATAAATTATTACATCGCCGCATTGGCGGAATCAAAGTAGCATTCATTCAGAACAGCTTGAAGATAAGATCGCCAAACTCGAGCGTAGGAACGAACCCCTCAACCGTCAAACTCCTCGGAGCTATACTCCTCAGCAGAACCTGTGTGCCAAAATTTATCAGTACGATTTATACTGGCCACTCCCAACCCTATGAGCATTGCTTTATGGAAATTGGATGCAAGTTGGATATAATCAAAAGGAACCTATAAGGCTGGAGTTTCCTATGTATTAGCCTTTCAGGTATATATTATTAGTTGATCAAGTTTTAACACCATTCCCACACCCATTCCACCCCATTCCCATTCCAGAGCCAGATTTCGATCCTGGGATCGATATACCACCATCTCCACACCATCTCCATACCACACCCATACCATCGCTCAGTCGACAGGCCAACTCCCTCTCGGCACTGTCTCAAGGCCTGTAGCCCCTGGCTACATCTGAACACTCACTCCTAGGGAGAGAAGAGAATGACTCATCTCTCTATCTAGTTTAAGCAAAACCCAGGAAAGGTCCATAGCCGACAAGTCGGCATATGTATCGATCGATCAACCATACACTCTGCAGAGGTTTTACATAACCACAAAGATCTGCCTTCCTCGCTGACCGTCGTCAACTGGGCTGATTCCGGCCGCTTGCTAGCCTAGGATAATGCCACTCTACCATTCAGCCCTGGTACACCCCAAGTCTAGTCTAGGGTGGCTGAAACTGTGAGTCATGAGCCAGGTCCACAAGGTCTCCATGAAGTCTTGGAAGGGTGTGGGGGGGAATCCTCCGCGCCCCATACCTCCCTTGCACTGTCCGCTATCAACCTAGAAGTAGTGGCAATATCCTACCAAGTAGTCCGGCCATCCCGCACCATATAGGGCGAGTGGTATGTAAGGCTTCCCGGTGAATCTGAGTACTAGTAAGTCCTTAGGGATGACCAAGCCAGAATGTCTTCATCAGGGTTTCCATTTACCGTGCCACCATAGCACCTCCACCCTGGGCTCCTCCCATCATAGGTTCACACCCAGGGCCACTTCATATACCATTTACCCACCATATGTATCCATTCCAGGGGTGCCCAAGTAGCACCCCATGGCAAGACTTGCCCCAGGCTCGTCGTATACTCCAACTTGGTCGACACAACCCGCACCCTCCACGCATCCAAGTCACACACGCAACACTCTCCCCATAGTCCAAATAACACCAGTTTCCACCACGCATCAATGTAGTGCAAGCGTAGTAGAAGTAATAAGCAATTAAATATAGTAGCAAGCGTGTGACTAGCCTAACAACAGGGTGAGCAGGGGTAAGGTTGCGTCATGGTAAAGGCCATCAAGAAAGCATACTACCATGCAAGTCCTATCATAGTGTCATTATAACAATGAAGTAAAGTACTAGCATTTCTATTTTAGCCATGCGTAATAGGTGCTACGAGATTGGGTGGGATGTGGCACCTTCAGTGTAGTCGTCTTCATACTCCTCACGATACTCACGATCCTCGTCCGTCCGGTTCTCCTCCGAGTCTGCAAACGATCGCATTATAGTCGTGTTAGCGACGTCTATAGAATAGCACAAAGAAGCAATGAAAATTCAAAAGAGCCAAATGCACTCAAACATGGGTTCATTGCATAGAGCTCGATTTTAGATGAATTTTGGTCCTAGTTTCATATTTTTCTGAGGTCATATGAATTAGTTATGAATTTCTGAAGTTTAAATCATTTCTGAAAATGGAAAAAGGCTGAATTAATCCTGGGCTGACACATGTCATGCTGTGACGGGTCCACATGGCTTGCTGACGTCAGCATGACGTCATTGCCTCGGTTTCAAACTGACAGGTGGGGTCAGCTGACGTTATCATGACGTCAGCATGACGTCATCAACGTCATCCAGTCCGATAGGTGGGTCCAGGGCTTTCGGGTCACTGACAGGTGGGTCCGTTCAAAGTCAACGTCAATCAACAACAAGTCAACGGTCAACGATCTACGGTCAACGGTCAAGGTCACTGACGTGTGGGGCCAGGGCTGCTGACGTCAGCAGCTGACATCACCATGACATCAGCATGACGTCACTTCAGCTGTGTTGCTACTGACATGTGGGTCCCGCTTGACATCAGCATGACGTCGGCATGATGTCAGCATCTGACGTGTGGGTCCAGTGTGTTTGTGCCACTGACATGTGGGGCTAGGTCAACGGTCAACATGGACCGGGTCTCAAACGGGCTCTGGTGGGCTCGATATGGGCCGGGCCGGGCCAGACACGTGGCAAGCTGTGACGCTGCCACGTCGTAGCCGTGGTTCTCTACTGGGCTATGGTCTTCGGCTATGGTAATGAGCGTGGCTCACGGTGGACCAAGAGACGCTGGTCCATGGACCGCAGACAGGTCTACGATGGACTGAGTCCACCCATCTTCTCTCAGGCGAGGTCCATGTGCACCGAGTGTATGCGCGGGTTGCCGACGAGGGGGGTGTTCCCCTATTTCTCCTGCGGCCATGCTCTTGTCAGCGGCGAGCTCACTGGTGAGCCTCCGTGGCGGTGCTAGTGCGCAATTGACGCGTGTGGAAGCTCCGCCGAGCCTCAGTGTCTTCATTGGTGGGGTTACCACGGCGTGCGGGGTCCCGTGGTGTGCCGGCCATGGCGGCAGTCTTCCTGGCATAACGGCGGCGCCAGTGAGGTGGCTACGGCCATGGTGAAGCGTCCAGGGGGGCGTGTAAGCTTCTACGGATCCATGGGGACGCGGTGAGGGCGTCCAGGGCTCAAGGCGGGGCTTCGGGCTTCCATGTGGCCAGTAGGGGCTCGACGACGGCCACGGCGACATGGTGACGACGGCGAGGCGCGCGGGTGAACTACGGGGCTCTAGCGGGGTGGTCACGGCGCGCGCGTGAGTTACTCGTGGCTCCAGCGAACAAGATGGGCGAGACAAGGAGACGCTAGGCGCTCCCAGTGGACCTGGCCACGGTGGAGTCGACGCGGTGGCGGCGGTGCTCCGGCCGTGGCGCGGTGTGGCCTCCGGGGTCCTCTAGTGACCTACGTCTACCCTGATCGTGAGCATGGCATCTTCCGTGGCGAGAGGGAGCCGGTCAAGGCGGTGGCGTCGCTTCTACTGCGGTGATGCGGCCGCGGTGGCTTCGCCACAGGCCGTGCGCATGTCTACGGTGTGCGCCCATGTGTGCTCGTGTCCATGGGGCTTAGGAGGAGGTCTCAGTGACGTATGGCTCACCGTCCGTGTTGAGGGCGAGAGGATGGCGATGCAGTGAAGAGTCGTGGCCATGAAGCTCCGGAAGCAGTGCCATGCAGTGTCGTCCGCTCTGGCTTCGATGATCTCCCGGTCCTCCTCCCGGGAGCGGCTCCGCCCTCTTTGTTCTTCTCCTCCCCTCGGCCCTCGTGTTGGGTGGTCTAGTGGATGGCCACAAGTGGTGGCGGGGCGATAGAAGGGCGCTAGGGCAACCGAGGGCCATGGCTTTATAGCCGGAGCTCCGAGCTACAATGGCGGACGGCTGGGGATTGCGCTGAGCGCATCGAGTGGCATCGCTGGGCGTAGGTGGTTGGCGCGGAGATTGCGTGGGTGAGGCGCCAAGGGGACAAGGCCGTGCCCCGGGCGTGACCCCCCCTGGCCCCCCCTGCCATGGCTGTCGACCTTCGGTCGCGCGTCAGTTGAGGCGCGGGGGAAGACGACACTGTGGTGGGTGTGCGGCTGACATGCGGGGTCCAGTGG